GCCCCGCGCCGCCCGCCACGCCTCCCGGCCTGCCCCGCGCGGCACGCACACCGGGCTGAACACACCTCCCGGCGTGCCTCGCGCTCGCCGCCCGCCAGGCTGAACACACTTCCCGGCATGCCCCGCTTCCCGCCACTAGGGGGTGGCTAGAGTACACTTCCCGGCATGCCCCGCGCTCGCCGTTCATCCCAGCCGCGCCTCCGAGCCCGCCCTTCCCGGCGGGCGCCGCGCGGCGCCCCGGAAGCAGTGGCGGGCGGCGGGGCGGCTGGTCCGGGTGCGGCGGAGCCGGAGCGGGAGCGGGAGCCCGAGCCATGGCCTCCGCGCGGCCCCCGGCGGCGCGCGCGCCCCCGCGCCCCCCCGTGCGGCCTCCCGCGCCGCCCGAGGTGGCAGTGCGGCCGGTACCGGTACCGCGCGGGGCAGAGGGGAGGGGGGAGGAAGCAGCGAGCGGGGCCCGAGCGCCCTCAGCGACACCGGGGCCCTCGGGAGGGGGCGCGGCCGGATGGAGGGGGGTTTGTTCGGGATTTTTTTTTTTTCCAGAATTTTACTTTTTCAAACTGAAGACCTCGCTTTTAGCATCATCCTTTGGACATGAAGTTGGTTTTTTAGCGGTGTTGTTGTTACGTGCCCTGCTCAGCGAGGGCGGGGGGAGGCAGCGCTCGCCATCCTGGGCAATTCTGGAAGTTCTGCAAGGTCGGGAAGCGCTTCCCGCTAAAAACGGGGAGGAAGAGGGAGCACAGACTAGAGGACTGTGCTCAGGCGGCCGAGAAGGGCAAGGAGCAGACGTGCCCTGAGCAGCTGCTGAGTGCCCTCTTTAGCTTCCGCCTTCTTGCACTTGAAGCAGAGCCTTTCTGCTCAGAAATCCCTTCTCCTGTGTCGTTTCGGGGCCTTTTCCTGGTGTTTTTACTTCCTCACCTGGCCAAGGCACCCGTGGAACGCTTTCTTTTCAGCCAAGCTGCAGCAGAGAAGTGTCTGAAACTGCTCCCGCTTTGCAGGCCACGAAGAGCAAGGCAGCGGAGGAGGGCGATGCTCCCCCGGCCAAGAGAGCCCCCATCTTCTATGGCAGCTTGGAGGAGAAGGAGAGGGAGCGCCTGGCGAAGGGAGAGTCGGGTCTGCTGGGAAAGGAGGGAATGAAAGCTGCGATCGAGGCCGGCAACATCAACATCAGCAGCGGTGAGTGCCCAGCCCTGTCTCCGTCTGCTTCTCGCACTCAATTTTGGCAGATTCCTGCGTCTGTCTGGTCGGGTTTGAGGCTAATTTGAAATCGAGCACATGACACTCGTGCCCAGCTGCTGTTTTTACCTCATTGGCTTCGTTTTTCCTCAGGGGAGGTCTTTGATCTCGAAGACCACATGAGCGAGCGGCAAGCCGAGGTCCTGGCCGAGTTCGAGCGCCGCAAGCGAGCGCGGCAGATCAACGTTTCCACGGACGACTCGGAAGTGAAGGCCTGTCTGCGAGCCCTCGGGGAGCCCATCACGCTCTTCGGAGAAGGGCCGGCAGAAAGGAGGGAGAGGTGCGAGGCTGCCCGTGTCGCTCACGGTGCCCCCTGTGCCCAATTCCCAAAGTATTCCCTGTGCTTTGGGTGCAACGGGCGCCTCTGGCCAGCGATGCTTCTTTCTGACCTAGCAAGAATTGGGGAGGGTGGAGGCAGGGAGACGACGATCATCTGTCAGGCTGATCATGATCTAATGCTTCTTTTCAGATTACGAAATATCCTTTCAGTGGTTGGCACAGATGCCTTGAAAAAGAGTAGAAAAGATGACGACAGGTCTAAAAAATCCAAAGAAGAGGTAATATTTTCTCTCTTTTTTTTTTTCCTAATGTCTTTTTTTTTTTTTTTTTTTGTGCTGCTAGCTCTTAATGTGGCTGGAAATATGTTAAAAAAGCTGTTAGGTACCTTATTTAGCCTCTGATGCAGCGGTGCTTCTGGCTTCAGTCAGGCTGTGAGCATTGCAGCTTATTTATGTGGAGAGAATTAAGTCTGGCTTGTGCTGCAAACTGATTTCCACATTGCACATGGCATACAAAGCAGGAGACTGGGCAGCGGGGCTGTTATTTAGCAAGTCTTATATTTTTGACCACAGTTTTGCAAAATGCCACGTTCGGCCCCTTAAAACAGCTGCCTTAAGACATCAAGGTTTAAGAGAAGATGCTGTGGTGGCAGTTGGATGCTAAGAGGAGGAGGAGAGAATAGAAGGGCCCTATGACATTATCAATTTCTTTGGTTTTATTCTTTTTCTTTAAGTATCAGCAAACCTGGTACCATGAAGGACCACGCAGTCTGAAGACAGCCAGGCTGTGGCTTGCTAACTACTCACTCCCCAGGTAAGGAAGAAAATTAGAGCTTGAGTTCTTGATAACTACTGGCATTGGTGCAGCTGTAGGAAAGGCAGAGGAAAGGGCAGCTTTCGGTAGAAAGCCGGGGAAGTGCAGGCACTTGTTACTCTGATCTTGCTTTGCACAGGGCAGCGAAGCGGCTGGAAGAAGCCCGGCTGTTCAAGGAGATTCCAGAGGCCACCAGAACATCGCAGAGACAGGAGCTGCACAAATCCCTGCGGGTAGGTTTGGCAAACAGCAGCTGTGCAAAAGGCCATTGTTGTATTTTCTGTCTGTGCCTGTCATCTGTTGCAAAGCTCTGCTTTTTCTTCCTGTGATATACATAGAACATGTCACCTTTCTCTTTAATGATTCAGAGACCTGCTTTAATTGTCCCCCCGTGTGGGAAGTCGACCCCACGCTGCCTCCTTACTCCCATGTGAGGCTACAGATCTTGTTTCCCACATTTTTCATGGGTTTAAGTTGACAAGGAAAGTGCTGCTTGCTTTCCTTGTCCCGTACTGTGGGCACTGTTAAATGAAACCCAGGGATGTGGGAATGACTCTGAGGACAGCTCCTCCGTTTGTGTGAGTGACTTTCCAAAGGCCTCTGTGTCCTCCTCCGTACATCTGCTTGCTTCACCTCGCTCTTTGGGCAAGGCTTTCTCTGCTTATTTGCTCTTGCTTTTGTTTTCAGTCCTTGAATAACTTCTGCAGTCAGATTGGAGATGATCGCCCGCTGTCCTACTGCCATTTCAGTCCCAATTCCAAATTCCTCGCTACTGCCTGCTGGTAAGTGCTCCTTTAAAGCCCTTGCTTTGGAAGGAAGGGGGAGCATGGCTGGAGTGAAGGAGAGGGATGTTATTGGAAGTCTTTGACAGCTGAGAGGTCATCAGGGTGCTTTGCTCCTACTCTGAATTTTGTCTTCAGTCTCTTTGAATGTTTTGCAGGGATTTGAATATGGGTCCATTTGTCCTGCAGCTCTGGGTTTGATCTGTTCCCTGAGGTTCTGTTTGTGCCTGCACTGACTTGCTGTATTTCTCGTGTTCAACAGGAGCGGGCTGTGCAAGCTCTGGTCTGTGCCCGACTGCAACCTCGTCCACACCTTGCGAGGTAGAGACTTTCACCCAAGCGGTTTGCGTCGTCCTTTTGTCCCTCTCTGGGCTGAATCCTGTGGTGTTCTGTCACTCAAGGATTTTATTCTGACAAGAGCATAACTCAGACATACGAGGTGTGGGGGTGTGTCGTGTAATCCAGAGGAGGTCCTGGCCTTTCCTTTTGAGATAAGACCCAAATTTCTTGTTCTCTGTTTCTGAGTGATGCTTTTCAGTTTGGTTTATTTTGAAACCTGGTTTAGTTTTAAACCAAAGACTAACATGCTACCTCACTTGAGAACAACAATTCTGTTGCACAGTGGTCACAACTTTGACTAAAGAGAAATATGACGGAAATTCTCTTAATTTGTTCATGTAATCATGTAATTCATTCATGTAATCTCTGTTTGGAGAACTACAAATCTTGACTTCTGACAGTGCTACTGCGTGTTCCTGGATTTGCAGTTTAGCCCTTTGCACTATGGATATGCTGCAGAAGTGCTGCTTTTGTGATGGGAGAGAAAAAAAAACAACTACTCTTTTTCTGGTGAATTGTCTAAGATCTCTTCACAAATGGTAATTCTTTACTCTTTCTTTTAAGGACATAACACCAATGTCGGAGCAATAGTCTTCCATCCCAAAGCCACCATCTCCGTAGACAAGAAGGACGTTAACCTGGCCTCCTGCGCGGCCGATGGTTCTGTCAAACTTTGGAGCCTTGAGAGGTCAGGCTGATGCTGGGCACGCGCTGCTGCAGACCTCTTGTTTGAGGGGCTTATTTCAGACATCAGATACTTGCCATCCTCCTGCAAATGGAACTTCCTGTACCTATATCCGAGCAGTTCCTCATCCTGTAATAAAAGGAGGGGCTCTGTGTTGCGGCATGGGGCTAGCTGGTTTTTGAAGACAGGCAGCACTTACCTACAGCCTGAGAAGATGACTGTAGCATAGATACCAGTTCTAGAACCTACAGTTTGAAAAGCAGAGCCCTGCAATGCTCCTGGGGAAGCCCTGAGATGCTCTGTGTCCAATTGTGAGCCCAGACGTGTTGTTTCTACAGTGTTTGGCCTGGGAGAAGCAGACCTGTCCCAAGAGACCGATGCTTATCGCTCTCGCATGACCAGGGCTCCTTAACTGGCCATTTAGAAGCTCTAGATGCTGCTCAGATCTTTTACTAAAGCTGCAGAGCTGCCGCGTGCCCTGGGTGCAGCCCTGGGAAGAGCAGGGATCGCTGTAGCCGGGGCTGTGCCCTGTGTGCGTGCGGGGAAGCTGCCGGCTCGGCGGGCCGTGCTGTCCCCGCTGCCAAACAGCGCGCAGGCCAGGGCGCCTTCCCCGAGGCGCTGCCCACACGGAGCTCGCCGTCAGGTGCTACTGATGGTGCTGCGCTGTCCATGTTCAGGAGGCCTGAAAACATCAAGGGTCTTGTTAATTTTCCTAAGGTGATTATCCTAGGAGAGCTTTATAACTGAGGTCAAAAGTATGGATAAATGAGCTTCATGTAGAGCATTAGTTATGTGAGCAAAAGATGGTATTGGATACCCTTGCTGGTCAAAAATGTTGGCTATTTACCAAATACCAAATTAAATACCAAAAATGTAAGTATCAGTTGTTTTACTGTGATTGAAATGACTGCGAAAGCCTGGTTAGCACCAGCAAACCCCAGTGAGTGTCAAGTGATTTGGTTCTGTTTTTCAGCGATGAACCCGTGGCAGATATCGAAGGTCACACCATGAGAGTGGCACGTGTGATGTGGCACCCATCTGGACGGTTCCTGGGCACTACCTGGTATGGAGATTGGGTCACTTCCTTGCAGACACTGCCATTAGCTGTATAGCTAGTAAAGTGATGGGCATCACTGCCTGTCCGCGAGGGAGTCCAGCACAGGCAACAGTGCAATACTGCCTGGTCTGGGCCATTGCAATAGAGTGTGTGTGTGTGTTAAAAAAGGCAAGTCTTTGGGTTTCCTGTAGTTTTCCCCGTTTCCTATGTAGCACGTGAAGTTTTGGACCAACCTGTGTAAATCTGCTGACAGCTGTTATATGTGTGCCCAGTTCAGACAGGGTTGTAAGGGTAGGTAGGGGATCCAGAAAAATGCATTTAGTTGGATAAATGCTTTGTTTGTGCAGCTATGATCACTCCTGGCGCCTGTGGGACTTGGAAGCTCAGGAAGAGATCCTGCATCAGGAGGGACACAGCAAAGGGGTCTATGATATCGCCTTTCACACGGATGGGTCTCTTGCTGGGACTGGGTAAGTCTGTTTTGTCTGAAGGTTGCACAGGAGACATTCCCAGGGTTTGTTGTGGGCTGACTCAGGGGGACCCGGGGGGTCTGGTGCACAATCGAGCGCATTCTGACAGTGCTGGAGTCAGCCGTGGGTGATGGGTGGATTCTTCCCTTCACAGCGGCCTGGATGCCTTTGGTCGGATATGGGACTTGCGCACGGGACGCTGCATCATGTTTCTGGAAGGCCACCTGAAGGAGATCTATGGCATTAACTTCTCCCCAAATGGGTAAGAAGGGAGTTGCGTGGTTTATGTGGAAGCTCTCAATACAAACGCCATCTCCCATGACTGTGGCCTTTCTTGACTCTTTTGGCAGGTACCATGTTGCAACTGGCAGTGGTGACAATACTTGCAAAGTGTGGGACCTCCGTCAGAGGAAGTGCATCTACACCATTCCTGCCCATCAGAACCTGGTGACGGGGGTGAAGTTTGAACGTAAGCATCTCCTACGCTGCCTTCCTTATCACTGCCCAAGCTGAGATGGCGAGATCTGGGCAGTACCTGTGAGAATGTATAGCATTGATACACACGGGGACAACTCAAATGCATCTTCAGGGCAAGAGGGCTTGTTCTTGCTTAACAATAGAAGCTTTTTCACCTTTTTTATTTGTAAGTCTTAATTCTCCCTTTTTCTCACCCTCAATTGCAGCCAATCACGGAAACTTCCTGCTCACAGGCGCTTACGATAACACAGCAAAGATCTGGACTCACCCTGGCTGGTCTCCTTTGAAAACACTGGCTGGCCACGAGGGGAAGGTCATGGGCCTGGATATCTCCCTCGATGGCCAGCTGATAGCGACGTGTTCGTATGACAGAACCTTCAAGCTGTGGACAGCGGAATAGCTCAGAGTTGCTGATGAACTGGAACTGAGATGTTAACAGCTTTGAACCTGGACTTTCTGACATTTGGGCTTTTTTATATTAAAGAAAAAATAAGGAATCCGCTGTTGCAGGCACTTTATGGTGGTTGTAGTTACTGCTTTGTCTTGGTTTTCCAGTTGAGGTGGTTTTGAAAGGTATTTGCCAGGACTTGATTGGAATCAAAGTTACTTGAGTGTCTTGTGCTTTTTAGAACCTTTTTACACTCCAGACACTGCTTTTCTGTTGTATTTTGGAGATGAATCATCTACTCCTGTGCCTCGGCTTGGCTGCATCAACATATCTGCAAGCGAGGCACACGGATCTTCTCCAGTTGGTTTTTGAATGCCTGGAGGAAGCTGTGTAACTCTTCAATATAGCACCTTGTATAGCCTCTAGTAATGTCCTTGCTACCTTCCCAGGAGCCTTGGGTAGGAGTCTGGCTGCAAGCTTGATACTGGCTGTCAGAGTTAGTAGAAAACAGTGTCCTCCTCCTCCATCTGTAAAGTTAGTCTCTCCCTGTGGAAGGCTGTAGGGTATCCCCTTGGTGTTTACTCACAGTAGAGTTGAAGGGCTTTTTTTTTTTGTCTCCACTTTTCAATGCGGCATTACAGGCTCATACCCTCGCTCCTTAAGCTGTCTCAAGAATTAGGTGGTTCAAATTCGTGCAGGTATTGACTGAGGATGTTGTGTGTCTCACCTGAGCTAATGCAGAGCAGGCTCTTTCACTGTATGCACTGTGAGGAGCTTTTGTTTAAACTTTAAATTGAAGTTTTTAAATTGAAGTTTTGCAACTGTGGTGTTTTGGAAAATCAAAACATGTTTTGAAGATGCACCCTGGCTTCTGGGTTTGACTGCGGGACAGAGGTTAAGGGTAGTTCACAAGAGCCACGGCTTGTTTCCACGCTCTGCTCTGTCTGCCCCCTGCCTGCTGGGCAGCCAGGGCAGCCCTAGGCTGGAGCCTGAGAGCTGCTCTTGCCCCGGCTTGAGGCGCGGGGCTCTTGGGCTCTCGGAGGCTCCTCTCGCAGTCTCGTGATTCCCTGTTGTCCATGTGGTGCCAAGGCTGTTCCCGCAGCGCCCCGCAGGGCAGCGAGGCCTGTGCGGACCGGGAGCTCCCGCGAGGCAGGGTGGGGACGTGGGGCACTTGTCACCAGGCTCCTGTCGCAGGCCCGCGCTGGCCAAGCAGCTGCCCACAGCTCCCCGTGCTGCGCTGCATGCGCGCTCGGCCGCAGCAAGCAGCTCCCCCCGTGCAAAGTGCCGCAGAGCAGGAGGCGGCGGCGCAGGAGGCCAGCGAGGCTGGCGCTGCGGAGGCCACGGAGGCCCAGGAGGCTGCGGAGGGAGCGGAGGCGGCACTGGCCACGCTGCTGCAGCTCCCGCAGAGCCTTCCCCGCTTCCCTGGGAGCTTTATCCCTCCCTGCCCACCCCCATGACTCGCTTACAGTTTGGGAAAATGTTTCTCAGGGGCCAGGTTACCTTCAATGTGTGTTTTTGAGAATAATCCAAGAGGGAATGGAAATCTTAATTCCAGAGCTGCGTAAGGCGTTCTTCGTGGCTATTAATAGAGATCATTTCTTCCTTATTTCCCCTCAGTTTAGGGAGGATGTTCATCACCCCCAAATATCCCTTCTTGGAGGGGAACACAGCTGCTCTGGGGCCTCTCTCCTCCATCCCAACCCTGTGGCTGCACTCAAGTAAAACCCAGAGGCTACAGGTTGTCACTGGGGGGAGACAGAGACGGAGACAAGCGGCTGCAGCACCCACAGTGTCACCCTCCAGCGAGGAGCTCCCTCTCCTGCCTCTGCTGTCTTGGTCCCAGATCTTCACTTTGCAGTTGTAGGAGGCAGTGGCAACAATGGGGGCCCAAGCTAGGCCCAGGGAAGGAAGACACGCGAGGCTACAGTTTGGAGATGCGCTCTCTACTCGTGTACCTCCTCGTCTGCCACAGGTCCCACAGCTGCAAGACATTGGCAGCAGGCAGAGTCCAGGTCACTTCCAGATTCCATCACTGTCACTTGATGATGCGGAGCTGCTTTACAAAGAAAACAAGGCTTTTTCTTTTTTTTTCTTTTTTTTTTTTTTTTTTTTGCTTAAAGTGCACCCTGAGCAAGGGGACCCTTCCAGGCTTCCTGCAAGATCCTCACAATCCCTGACACTATCGTGCTTCTGCTTTGATAAGGATGAACATCTGCTATTGCAGAAGACTCATGAAAGGGAGAGATGGGAAGATATGGAGGAGCCCAACCAGCAGCCTCAAGCCCAGCTAGAGATTCCCATGAGCATCCCTCTGGGCACTGATCTGTTGCATGCCCCGGAGGTTGGAGAAGAGCAGAAGAAATGTGGGAATTGCTGTCCAGCAAACCCACAGTTGCTTCGCAGCCCTCACTGCTGCTGCTGACACAGTAGTGCCTGTCCTGGCGCACGTCACAGCACCACAGAGCTGCCCTGTCCTTGCTCTCCTTGTGCTGTGTATTGAGCAGGAAAAGTCAGATTGTTTTATCCCTTTCCCATCAGTGCTGCTGCCCTACTTGGAGCAACAGGTTCAGTCCCACATGGTTAGCACAGGTATCAGCAGTTAAAGAGACACCTTCACTGAGCCACACCCATGTGGGAATATGGGCACCTGAAGACACTCTGAACTTCTTCAACTGTGTTTTGGCCACTGTGATAGACATGCATGTTACCTTATCTGTTTCTTCAGATACGCAGAGGTCTGGCTTGACAGCAGCCACAGAAGTGACGGCATCGGCGTGTGCAGGTCTACTGCGGAGCAGATCTATGGGTCCTGTCTTCTCCACAGAGACACCAGTCCTGCGGCAAGAAGAGGGACAGTGGAAGGAGCTGCAAGTCAGGGTGACTGATGTGCCCCTATTTAGACTGATGTGGAGAAGACCACAGTGCTGGTGAACTAGAGAACAGTGACATCTGATTTTGGAAAGTCAAAGGTAAGCTGCATGTACACAAATGTGTCTTCTGGACCCAGTAAGGTAGAGGAAGCATATCCTCCCTCTTGAGCTGCTTAGTATTTAGGTGTTTGCTCCTAACCAGGAGGGTTTAGGTATTCACTCCATGCCAGAGTAAAGAACAGGAAAAAAAAAACACATTTCAATCTTACTGGTCTCCTGGTGTTGGGAGACACAATGTTCCTGGGAACCTGCAGAAATTTCCAACTATTGTGATGCAGGAAGTTTCTGGTACCACAGTATCAACATTTTAACCTAATTTAGGATGAGAGAACAAGAAATCAGAGAAATGGACACCTGGAAGTGTCTAGGCAAAACCGTGCTTAGCACAAGACCAGCTTCAAAACTGAGGTTACTGAGCCCTCCGTCTCTGCACTGGCCAACTCCACATGACTTTGACAGATCTAAAACACATTAGGTTCCCAAGTGTTTCATGGAGATCCCCAAGCTGAAAACCCATGGACATGAGGCTGGGGAATATCTCGGGCCGTTATATCTCTGGTCTTGTGTTCCATGTTCTTTACAGATCCCAGTTTCCAGACCGGCTGAGGCAAACACCTTCAGACTCGGGTTTGTACGTCCAACTGAGGTGCTAGCACTTTAGACCAAGACAAGTCAGTCACAGGCAGCCTGAACTCAGTTCATGCAGCCTGACTTCAGGGAAAACCTCAGCTGGTCTTAGCTTAGGCCAAGTGATGTCTCAAAACAGCAACTCCCATGTCCATACTCCAGCCTCATCTCGCTAAATCTCCTGGCAGATGCATCGAGTTTCCAACCCAACGATGCGGGTCACAGGCTGGGCACAAAGCAGGGAGAGAAGAACACAAGGAGCCGTCCCCACAATCCTGCCTTTCTGGGAAATCCGTCCGCCCTGTGCGTGATGCTGATCCCAGCTCAGGAGGGCTGCCCCTTGCAGCGGCAGGCACAGGAGAGCCCTGGCCAACAGGCTGAGTTTGAAGACAGAGAACTGCTATGTACAGTAATTGGATTCCTCTTAGCTCAAGACACGCTAATTGGATTCACTTCAGTCTGTACTGGGTGCCCATCTCCTGGACAGAGGGTTTCTGCTAATAAAGATAGTGTTTAAAAAAAAAAAAATCAGGATGCTGCTTCTAGCAAAGGAGGAGAAAACATTTCAAGGCTCTGCTCACAGAAACCAAGAACCAAACCCTGGAAGCAACATGGGAGAGGCAGCTGTCTTCCGCCAAACATTCCCTTTCTAATTTTACCTGGAGCGTCTTTGGGATTAGCAATCAGCAACACCTGGCTAATTCCTGCCTGCTCAATCTGTGCATCTGCATGGTCGGGTGATAGAGAGGAAAATACATCTCATGGTTCGGGGCAACGCTAATGTGGCAAATCTCCTCCGGTCACAATGGGATGGAGCCTGCAAACTGTTTCTGCACGTTAGGAACAAACTGGTTTTTTTGCCTGACAACAAGAGAACACGGGAAGTTTTTGTTCACCTGCAAAATAAAACTTGAAGGAAAAGAAGAGCCCTGACAAAGGCTGTGACTCTGCTAGGAGCAGGGCCGGCCTCAGCGCGGCACAACCAGGTGCTCACGGCTCTGTGATGGTCCCGGTGCCATCGGGCTCAGCAGGGCGCTGCCACTCTGGGCTTCCCACCCCATGAGCACCAACATCACCCGCGAGCCCCTGGCAGCAGAACCGAGTGCTTCCGTGCAGCAAAGGCCACAAATTCAGGCTGTTGGAGGAAAACCTGTTCTTTTAGTGTCTGCAGGGCCGCCGCCGCCGCAGCAGCTGCTTTGCAGGTGCCGCGCGAGGCCTCGGGCACCCAGGCTCCCTCAGGATGCTCTGCAGCGCTCAGCGCCACGGGCAACAACAGAGCGCTGTGGAAATGCAGCAGGAGGGGCCCGGGCCGTCTTGGGGGGCACTGTGGAGCCCTCATGGGCTCATCCCAAGGGGCTAAACCGGGCACTGCCCCAGTGGCTGTGGCTGGGGAGGCCCGTGGGGTCGATCCAGGTGCAGCTCGGTGCTGCGGCCGAGGGAGCCGTCCCAGCCCTGTCCTCATCCCGCCCCGGGAGCCGTCTGTCCCGCCTGGCAGCTGCGGGCCCTGGTGCCAGGTGGGATGCGGGGGCAGCGGGGAAGGGTTGCTCGCTGCCCCCGGGGTCCCAGCCGTGCCGTCGTGCCTGGGTCAGGCACGGCATGGCCGGAGTGCTGCGGGACAGGGCGGCCGCCGTGTGGGTGAGCGGTGGGCCCTGAGCCCTGGCCCCGCGGCACTGTCACCTTGGTCAGGGTGACAGCGGGGCCTGGGGCACCTGGAGGTGGATTGTGGGCTGTGTGAGGGGCACATGAAGGGCTGTGGGGCACATGGAGGGCTGTGATGCTGTGCGGCAAGTTCTTGGGGGCTGTGGGATTCCTGGGGGCTGTGGGGCACGTGGCAGTGTGTGGAACTGTGGGGAGCACCCAGTGGGGTGCAGGACTGTATGAGCACCCTGGCAGGGTGCGGAGTTTTAGCTGGGTGTGGGGCTGTACAGGAGGGTCCCACAGGGCCGTGGGACCTGTGTGGGGACCGGGTCACCTTTGCCGGTCCTGGCTAGGTCTGACTGCCTATTCTGTCCTCCACAGAACGAGATAGTGGGTGAGTGCGAGCGGCTGCAGCTGCAGGGCGCTGCCACAGCCAGGCACGTGGCCGAGGTGCTGCCAGCCAAGAACCAGAGTGTCCTGGTAACTCCCCTCCCTGCTCCCAGGTGGTGGGGCGGGCAGCGCCTGGCGCAGGCCAGTGCTGACTGGCGCGGGCTGCGGGGCTCCTCAAGCTTTCCCTGTGCAACCTGGCAGAAGCTGTGGGTGTCCTGGCTTGGTTTCAGCCAAGGCGGATGTTGCTTCCCTCTCTTTGCAGTGCTAGAGCTAGCGAGGCTTGGGAATTGGTGATCGAGAGGCTGATCTTTGTGAGAAACACGTGCAAGAATGAAGAGCAGCTATTGCTGGAGCAGGCAGAGGAGGAGCGGGCGCTCCAGAGCATCCTGACGCTCTGGGCCAAGGCTCTGCAGAAGCTGTCTGTCCTCTGAACCTACCTGGTGGACATGATCACCAAACTGGATGACCAGGGCCTAGTGGTAAGTGCTGCTCCGTGTGCTGAGCGACATTTCAATCAGCCTAGAAGTGAATCTAGACTTCTTATCCTGTGGAGCGCAAACCTGGGGTTCAGGAGCTGGCTGCTCTGACAGCAAAGAAGTTGGAATTGGACAGGATCTAGGTTTGCAGATCTATCTCAAGAAAGCCCCTTGAGCTGCTGCTAACAAGCCCTGAGGGCTCTCAGTGGTTGCTAGAGCCCATGTTCTACCTGGCTTTGCCTTTGTGTGAAGTGAGGTGTAGTTGTCAGAACTACCATCCAGGCTCTGCTCTTCCAGATGTTGCCTTGCTGCTCCCGGCTGAGGTGTCTGTCGAACCAGGGTGATAAATTCCTCACGTTGGATTGTTGGTGCCGGCATTTGTGGGTATCAGGAGCTAAAGGACCTCATGTCGCAGGGAAGCAGAAGCAGCACGCAGGTTCACTGCGCAGCTCTGTACTTGGAGCAGCTGTCTGCATATTTTTCCACTCCTTTGATAGTAAGGGTAGCCCTTGAACAGTGCAAAGGCACCAGTGTCAGCGGGTAAGGAAACAAACAGATTTGATGCCAAGGCTATTTGACTCTTGGCTCACATTCTGTAATCTATGTAGCAACAGGGATGCATCTGGACTAGAACCTGTGCAAAACCACATGCTTTTTCTGGACAGTTTTTATCTAATGCAGACCCTACTGTGCAAACAGAATGAGCAGTTGGGCTAAGAGCAGAGGAAGGCCTGGCAGGCAAGCAGGAATTTCCCCGGGATATTTTAGTACTCTGAGGCTCTCCCTGTGTCATATCTGTGGAACTGAGACTTGCTGTGTGCCCTTGCTGTCCAGAGCAGTGGCACGCACCTCTGAAATGCTGGGGGGCAGAAACCTGGTGCAGGGCTGGCATGAAGTGGCTGCTATATTAAAAAGTAGAGGGGTTTGTTTGTTTGTTTATTTTCAGATACCTTTGTTATAATGGTACTGGTGTGCTGCTGGGAAGGTCAGTGTCTGGGTAATTCGTTTGCCCCACAGAGCACCTTTCTTGTTCTGAAAAAGGTCATGGGGACGTCAGAGCAGCAGGATCTCTTACCAAAAGCCCTTGGGGTTGTTTGCTGTAAGCACAGGATGCCCATGCAGTGTGGCCAGCTGGGGTGGGGAAGGAGCGACACAGAAGAGAGTCTGAGTGCCAACAAACTGACAGTCTGAGGCTTTTCACACAGAGGTCAGTGCCTGGCAATTCCTCGGCCTTTTCCTGACCTGTTCTGCAAGCTTGGCCACCCCTCCTCGGCTCCTTCTCAGCAACAGGTGACACCCTCCTCTCTGCTCCTTGTGCTGCTTTTGTTGAGGACGGACCAGAGAGACACCAGTAAGTCCTCCCATCTTTGCTTCACTGCAGCTCAGGCAGACACCTGAACAACCTGTCCCTAGAACACTAGGGACCAGGACACAGTGTCCTGAGGGGCTTTGCACATGCTCTGGCACTCGCTTACTTGCTTAGCAAGGAGACCCTTTCTAGATGCCTAGAAAGCTTCATGGGGCTACCTGGGAGCAAACCTGGCCCTGGCTGATGGACAGTAGGACTGTCCACCTGGAAGACCACCTGGAAGCTCCGTGTCTGCAGAGCTGCAGGTGCTGCATTGCCCGGGGGTAACACAGCTGAGCAGATAGACCCTCGGCTCCGTCTCAGCGAGCGGGGGCCCTGCTGCAGGTGTCGACATGACTCAAGGTCATCTCCTGTGGCGCATCGCTAATGTTAGGCCGCCCTCGCTTGTGAATGGAGCTGGGCAGGTGGATTTTCACAGGCATTTCAGTGGCTGCAGCAGCAGCGCTAAGTATCACTGGTGGATGCTGCATTACAGAGACCTTCAAGAGTATTTTTGTTTGTAGAGAAACAGTGACCCGCAGCACATCGCGAGCAGAGCGAGAGCCTCAGCCTTTACATGCAAACAGTGAGTTCTGTGCGTGTGCAGGAACCTGTCAGGCCCTTCATCTCCTGGCTCTGCTCCGTGAATTCTCCCGGAGTGCTGCCTTGCTTTCTGTAGCATCCCCCTTTGCCCAAACAATGAGGCTTTGTGGAGCAAAGGCCTCCCAGGGAAATCTGATCCTCCCAGCACAGCCTGTTCCTTCTGTTTCCTCTGTGTCTCCATGGCTGGGCTCAGACCCCTTCATTCTGTGTCAGCTGAGCAAGAAAGCTGTTGTCTCGGGCTACCAGGGTTGTGTTTTAAAACACTGAAGTCCTTTCACAAGTGCCTGTAACCAAAGGCAACTGAAAATACCAGTTAGGAGGCAGAGCTCATGTAGGCACCTTTCCCCAGCATAGTTTCTCTGCAACAAGTGGTCCTCTTGCAACAACTCCAGATTGTATTTCTATAATGCTTCCTAGTGATCTTTATAAGCACCTACCAGCTCTGGGCAATAAATCAATGTTTCAAAATAGCCCTTGGGTTTCTTTGCTAGGACAGAGGCAGTGGCGGGAATTTTAGAGCCACAGGAGTCTGAGAAGTTAAACTTTAATCAGAAGTGCGTTCAGAGTCCGTTGCTGCCCTGACTATGGGTCTGGGTGGCTCTCTGTTGTGTTGCAGGTCAGTGACTTGCTCAGGTCTCGTGCTCTCTGGGGAGCCCTGCAGCAAGGTCCTTCATTTTGTGCCCAAGGACACATCCTGATGCTGTGATATGTCTGCCTGGTGTTTAAAAGAAAGGCAAATGTTGGGAGTAAACACGTAGCTTCAATCTGCTTCAGACTGAATGGGACCTGAAGGGGAACTAGGGAAGCAGTAACTGTCCCGTGCGAAAGGCGAGTTGTGCTGCCCTGGCTGCTGCAGCCACGAGGCTGAGCAAGAAGAGGAGCCGCTGAAGCCGGGGGACAGCACAGGGTGCCCTGCTCCCGCTGCGGAGTGTGCACTGGCCAGGAGCCAGCCTGGAGACAGGCCTGGCCTCAGCCGCTATGTGGCCGCTAGCTGCTGTATCGCCTGCACTGGGGGCTGGCAGCAGCTTCCCTAAACCCAGAGCCTCCGCACATCTCGGGGCAGCCCTGGGACGGGGTCGGTCGCAGGGCACCTACATCAGTGCTGCTGGGGGCAGGGAGTAGGGGGGGAGGCTGCCTACAAACCGGAGCGAGCGAAGGCTGCCGTGACGGCACCTCTCGCACCTCCCGGCTTTGAGCAGCTTGAGGGGTGCTGGAGGTGGGACAGCCTGATGCTAAAACCCCCCAGCTTACAGCAGTCCCCGGGAGCGGAGACGCTGAGTGGCAGCAGCGCGGCTCTGCTGCATGGCCTCCAGCACCAACCTGGGTCCAGGTTTCATCCAAGGGCCCAAATCGAGATAAGAGGGGTTTAATTTCACATATGGGAGTTTGGATATAGGATCTTTAGAAGTAGGAAAGTGTACTTCATGTGAGATATACATACTTAACGGGCAGATGTTAACATACCTGCCCCATGCAAGTGACCCCTGGGCAGCCTTGTGCCTGGACTGCATGCGTGTTGCACGATACCAGGCTTAGCGCATTCCTTCTCTCAGAGAAGGATGTCTCCAAGTCTCATGCTGCTCCATTCTCTATGAACTCAGGCAGTGTTTGGCTTCATGGAAAGTCAGCCTTTAAATGAGCAGGGAATGAACTGTAGAGACGTATGGAGAGCACGGGACGGCGGCACACACTGCAAAGGGTTTGGCCAGCGCCCGGGAGAATAAATCACCGAGCAAATGAGGCTGTGGCTGCTACAGCTGAAAGGGCGAGCGGCACCTCTTCCTGCTCGCCTGCCACGGCTGGCACCTAGTGCGCAGGTTTGCCCTGTGTGGCCCTTCTGCTTTGCCTGACCTGGCCGTCAGCCTCATTGCATTTGCTGCCGGGTGCCACAGGGCAGCGATCACCTCAGGGAAACCCTCGCGCTGCAGCCTGTTCCTTGCTGGGATGTTTGATGCCCGTGGTGCTGGCGTGAGCGCTGCCGCTGCCGCCGTGCTTGGAGGGCGCCCTGCCAGCGCGGGGGAGCTCGAGCACCTCGGGCTCCAAGGGCACCCTGTTCCCGGGCGCTGCAGCTGCTTGGTCCATTACGGGCTGCATCCCCGGAGATGTGATCTGCGGAGAGCAGGGACGGGCTCCATCCCCCCGAGCTATCCTGCCTGCGGTGCTCCCGCCTCACCCCTGGTAATGTGGGCAGAGTAAATGACTAGCCTGTCCCAAACTTGTTTCTGTTGAAACCTTCTTGTTGAACTTGAAATTTGAGGGTAGGCTTTGGGAGACAGCAAGGGCCTCCCTCAAGGAATTGGGTATTGCAAGAGTTGGAGTTGATTTGCACAGCACCTGGCAAGAGCGCTGTGGCCTTGTTCCCTGGGCGGCGTGGCGGGTTGCAGCGGCACACTGGCCTTCACAGCCAAGCATCAGCTCGGCATCAGCTGGCAGCTCAGGCATCGGCCTGACAGCACCCAGCTCTCCTGAACACACCAACTTCTGTGGCCCAGGCTCCGGGAGGAGGAAATGGGGAATTGGGGAAAGGGAGGCGTCATTCCCTCCCAGCCTGCCCTATTCGGGAAGGGGGATGCTGGCAAGGATGGCAGAGCAGGGTGCGCAGGGCAGTGCGCAGGAGCCCTGGGTGCGCTCGGCTCGCAGCCCTACCCAGGAAGGGAATAAGCTCAGCCCTGCAGACGCCCTAATAAAGGGTTGTGTGTGGGGCCCTTCTCGGTGTGGGGACACAGATGGATTCATGTGAATATCTGTCTCCATCCCTCCTTGCTAGAATTATCTTTCTAGGGTCTCTCTGCATTACACCAGGGTGCTTTGCACCCTGTCCCCAGCTCCAGTAGACAACACTATTAACCTGCTTCCCTATAGTGTTGGGAGAGCTATGGAAGGAAGGTGCACGAGAGCAGAGCGTGGGAAGTATGCTTTATTAGGCTGGGGCCCCTTCTCCGCAGGAGGGCAGGCTCTGGGCGACGTTTCTGCCTGTTTGAGGCGCGGGGAGCGAGGCCTGTCCCGCGCGGCTAGGCCGGTCCGAGCAGGGCGAGGAGGTGGCTGAGCGAGGGCAGGACGTGCTCGGCCGGCGCCTGGGGCGGCGCGGTGGCCGCCAGCAGGAAGCTGTGCATGCCGGCCGCCCGGGCCGCCGCGTAGTCCCGCACGTAGTCGTCGCCGACGTGCGCCGCCTGCTCCGGCCGAACGCCGCCCAGGCGCAGCGCCTGCTCGAAGATCCTCCTGTCGGGCTTGGCGAAACCCACGTCTTCGGAGGTCACGACGAACTCAAAGTGGTGCCGCAGGTTGCACTGGGACAGGACCTGCTCGAGCCGCCTGTCGAAGTTGGACACGACGCCCATGCGAAAGCCCCGCTGGCGGCAGCCGCTGAGCGTCTCCTCGGCGCCAGGCAGAGTCTCCCAGGTGCGAGCGCTGCAGAAGTCCCGGTAGAGGCTCTCGGCGAGGCGCGCGAGGACGCGCTCGTCACGCACGCCGCAGAGCCGGAAGGTCTGCTCCACGACGCCGAGCCACCAGCGCCGCGAGCCGAGGCCCTGCGCCAGGCCGTAGTTGGGGAAGCGCCGCTGCTGGGCGCCGTAGGCCTGGCGGAAGGCGCTGCCGAGCGCCTCCGGCTGCAGGCGCACGCCGAGCGCGCCCGCCGCCGCCGCGTAGCTTTCTCCCACCGGCTCGCGCAGCCGCAGCAGGGTGTCCTTCACGTCCCAGGTTAGCAAGCGCAGGCTAAGCATGGCTTGGGTGAAGCCCGGGGCTGGCAGGCCCTAGAGCACGCGCAGGGCGGGAGGCAGAGGTGCCCACACCGGGGCAGCTCACGGCCGGGGCCGCTGCACGTGGTGCCCCTGCCTGTCCGGCCGCGCTGAGGGGCCCCGCCTGCCCGGCCGCGCTGGGATGGCCGGGGCTGCCCGGGCCGCGCTCCGTGTCCCGGCTCAAAGGCTCCCTGGGTGGCGCGCGGTGCCGGCGCAGGCTGTGGCGCCGGGACGCGGGGGCTGCAGGCGGCGCGTGCGGGAGCACCCAGGACGTGCGGAGCTCTATGCAGGGCTCTAGGCCGGGCTCTAGGCCGGGCTCGCGAGCGGGCTGGCGGCGCAGCGGTAGGCGGGGCTGTACTCCGGGAACAGGCGGGCGGGGTGTAGCGGGCTGGCCGGCTGTAGCGGCGGTACCTGCGGGCAGCGGGACTCGCGGCTCCGCGCCGGGTGGGCGCTGTGGCCCACGGGCCCGTCCCTGCCTGTCCCCGCGGCGCTTCCGGCGGAGGGGCCGCCCCGCGCCCGGCGCCGCCGCTCAGGCCCGCGCCGCCGCCTCCTCCTTCAGCCAGCGCAGCAGCTGCGGCGCGAAGTACGTGATGACGGTGTCGGCGCCTGCGGGCGGCAGGCGCGGTGGGTGCGTGGCCTGCACCAGGCCCTGTGTCCCATGTCCCGTGTCCCGCCCTGTGTCCTGCCCCGTGTCCCGCGCTGCTCACCTGCGCGCCGGAACGCCGTCATGGCCTCGGTGACGGCCGCGCGCAGCGGGAAGGCGCCGGCCTGCGCGCCGTGCCACAGCATGGCGAACTCCCCGGACACGTGGTAGACGGCGAGCGGGTGCGCGGGGTGCTGGGGGTGGCGAGGCCGTGAGCGGGGCTGCCCGGGCAGGGGGCAGCCCCCGGGACACCCCGCTCCCACATCTGCTGCCCGTCCTTGGCCCCTGCACCCACTGCCCATCCTGCCGCTGCCCCCACGGCGGCGCCCACGGTGCCCCCGGGGCCGCGCAGGGCAGCGCAGCGCTTACTCGGGCCTTGACGTCCCTCACGAGGTCCAGGTAGGGCATGCCAGGCTTCACCATGAGCATGTCGGCTCCCTCGCGCACGTCGCGGTCCTGGTGGGAGGACACAGAGCGGCCCTGCAGCGCGGGCGCCCGGACCCGGCCATGGGCGCCGCGGCACCCGGCAGCGGCAGCGCGGGGAGGCCCTCGCTCACCACGGCTCGTGCAGCCAGGCCGCGGGCGCCCGGGGGCAGCTGGTAGCAGCGCCGGTCCCCGAAGGCCGGCTTGGACAGCGCAGCGTCCCTGCAAGGAGGCGGTGGGTCAGCGAGGCGGCCGCACGGTCGCCCACGCCTTCCGTGCCGGGCACAGGGATGGGCTGCACCAGCCGCGCGCCGCTTTCTCTTCCCGCCCGGAGCGGGACGTGCCGCCCTTTGCATCGCCTGCAGCCCCCGCAAACCGGGGGCTCCGTCAGGCCCAAGCCCGCCCGTGCCGGCTGCCCCGGCGCACGGCGTCTCACAGCGGCAGCACCGGAGGCTCCGGGCCAGGCCCTGTTCCCCGGTACCCAGCTGGGGACGAAGCTCCTGGCCAGCCCAGGGTGGTGCTGAAGCTCCTTGCAGAGACACTCACCTGAAGGGACCGTAAAAACAGGACGCGAACTTGGCGCTGTAGCTCATCACGGAGACCTGCAGAGGACAGGGAGGAGCAGAGGAGCTTCCTTGTGTCCCAGCTCTAGGACAAGAGCCATTACCCCCTCTGCACTGTTTCCTACTCGGCCCAATGCACTCCTTGCCCTGCGAGAGGCCTCTTACCCTGTGTGTCTGGGCAAGGGCTTTCCCTTCCCACATGCACTCATGTGGGGACTGCCCTGCAACACGTCCTGGGGGAAGGTGGAGCCCTCTTCGGGCATCGCTCCCGTCACAGAGGCGCAGCCTCCATACGGGCTATGCAGGAGCTGCGCCCAGCTTTGGCATGCACAGATCCCAGGCTCACCTTGTTGCCCAAGTCATTGGAGATCAGCGCCTTCTTTATGGCCGCGATGCGCCCGTCCATCATATCTGAGGGGGCGACGATGTGGCAGCCTGCGGGGAGAGACCAGAGGCTGCAGCGGCGCCAGGAGCCCGAGTTCGCTCTGCAAGTCCCGGTCAGCAGAGCCGGGGGAACCCACCGCTCCTGCGGGAGCAGACCCTGAGCCTCCCCCTTCAGAGGGAGGGAGGAGCGAGGGGCTGGTGCAGGGCATCTGCAGCTGTGCCAGGGCTGGCGCCTTGAGGGCTGCTGGAGCCCCTGCCAGCTCAGAGTACAGGCATTCCCAGCTTCAGCCAGTGTCACTTGCTTTTGGCTCTACAGCCAGCAAAAAGAGGGAAATCTGCAGGAGTCGACTTGGAGACTGCTGCCGGGAGACTCCTCACCTGCCTTGGCATAAGCCAGCGCCACTTCTGCCAGCCGCTGGCAGCTGAGCTCATTCTGGATGGTGCCGTCCTCGCGCAGGATGCCTAGGAGACGCGGGATTAAGTGGTGTGGAGGGGACCCTGCGTCCCACCCCTGTCCCTCAGGGCTGGTCACACACGCCCAGAGTTGCAGAGAGGCCCTGAGCTACGCCGGCAACTGCAGTGACAGGAGACCCACATCACGGCACTCCAGGGACCAAACCCAACACGGGTGGCTCCAAGAAGAGAAGACTGAACTAGGCACCCAGGTGGGTGCTCGGGTGACACTCAGCTGACCAGGGAGTGAGACTCTGCTTCTCCCATTGCCACAGGTGCCTTAGCCATCTGTGCCCCCACTCCATCTGGTGGCTCTCCTAGTTCAGCAGGCTCTTCCAGGCTCAACTCAGCTGCGCCCAGGCCTGAAGCCCAGGTCACCTCAGACCCCGCAGCAGTCACCGCTCCCGCGGCACGTGCGAGGAACGTGTGGGCGCCCACGCCGCGCGCTCACCACAGTGCCCGTGGGACGTGTACGGGCACAGGCAGACGTCGCAGGTGACGAGCAGCTCCGCGAAGGTGGAGCGGATCTTTTTGATGGCCTGGATGGCAGGGGTGTCCTCCGCGTCCGCGGCAGAGCCCCTCTCATCCTGTGAGAGAAGAGAAAAGGCTCTGCGCAGAGCCAAGGGCCTCCCTTTCTACACCAGGCCCTCTGTGGCAGAAATGTTTTCTGAACTGTTAAGACCCTTTTGGTGCAGAGTGTTGTGATCTCCAACAATGGAAAAGGGCATTGGAGCTTCTAGTAATGATTGCAAGTCTCAAGAGCAGCTCGTAACAGCCCCCAGGGAAAGACCAGATTGGGAGAAACGGTCCTCCGAGGCCGTGCCTCCCACTTGCTGCAGCACAGAGCTCCTTTCTCCTGCAAGCAGCGATGCTCCACATGTTCAAGGACACAGAGGACAACCCAGGGCCACCAGGAGCCTTACAGGTGTCAGCACAGTCCCCCATTCCTGTCCCACCACACTGAACTTGCCCAGGAGACCCCCTGGGCCTGACGTTGCCCCCCTACCCCCCGGTGGCTACCGCAGCCCTGCTCCCACCATGCTGACACACACTGACCTTGGGGACCTTGCTGGGCACCCCGAAGATGAGCACGCACTTGAGGCCATCCTCAACGAGGGGGCGCAGCATCCCCTCCAGCTTGTTGATGCCGTACCTAGGAGGAGTGGAGCTGCAGCCAGAGCGCACGGAGAGCCCGGAGCAGGGCTGTGGAGCGGGGCTCCCCCTGCGCGGGCCCAGCACGGCCACAGGCTGCTCCCCGCCCGATGCTCCTTCCTGGACGGAGCGGACAGCGCGGAGCCCCAGGCGGGCGCAGCTCCAGGCTGCCCACGAGCAGGAGCCGGCGCAGAGCCCGCTGCTCCCCGGGGGGGTTTCCAAGGCTCTCACGCGCCTCGGCTTTGGGATCAGCTCCTGGCGTGGCCCCAGCTCCCGGGCTGGTGTGCGGCTGCTTGGAGCAGCGGCCCTGGCGAGAGTGCCACGAGTGCATCAGGTCAAACAGGCAACGCGCCGACCTGAGCGGTGCTCGGGCAGACAGGCGCTCGTGGGCAGGGCCGTGCAGCAAGGGCCTGGGTTCATCACCAACCCAGGTGCCAGCCTGTAGGCACCAAGAAGCAGCTGGAGAAGCAGAGGTGCTGCCTGCAGCCCGGGAGGAGCAACCCCAGCCCTTATCTGGTGCTGCAGACGGGCCATTCCCGAGGCAGGGCCACGGGGGTGGCTGGGCCCCGCTCGGTCCCGGCAGCTGCTCTCAGGGCCCTTATCGTGGCTCTCCTGCTGCAGCGCTGCACAAGGCAAACGGGGCTGCGTGGGGTGCAGGGTGAAGGGCGGATGCCCAGACTCTGCGCTAGGCTGAGCGCCCAGGCGCCGGGAGCAGGTCCCCTGGCCGCCAGGTCCCTTGTCCCGCCTGGCTGGGGCAGCGGGCGCTGCCGCTCCACCTCCTGCCACCCAAACGCAAAGACAGAGATGTTTCCTGGAGCAGCTGCCCTACACAAGGGAGATCCCACTGCCCCACAGGAATATTCCCCCTGCCTCCTCTGAGCATGAGCGTAATGCAGCTTCAGGTGAAGACGGGATCTGCCAGTGCCATGGGATGCACAGCAGGACAAGAGCCCTGCTGTTGCCCAGATTTTCCAGCTGCTCCTGGAAACCCCAGCAATGCTCTGCCAACCTCTCTGCGAGCCTGGCCCCTGCAACACACGGGGGCTCTGGGGCAGTGCGGATCATGCTGCCATCGCTGCCAACGCCTGCCCCAGGCGGCCGCCTTGCCGTGGTTCCCTGCCCTCTCTCCATAGGTGAACGCTCCCATCCTGCCCAATTCTGGGGGATCCTCAAGCTGGGGCATACGGAGGGATGGAAGTATCCGGCCTGGGCCCGTCGCTGCCCAGACATCTGCCGTGTCTGTGGCATAGGGCTTGGCCGAGAGCCCGGCGTCCTACCTGGCCTGGCCGGGGAGGCTGGCGATCGGCTCCACCGCGTCAGGACTGTCGCTGCGGAGGTGACAGGACAGACGTGAGGACCGGGCAGTGCGGACACCCGTTGCGCCCAAAGGACCCTGCGCCACTCCCAGCCCGCCAGGGCACCGCCCCGTCCCGACCTGCTCCCAGGGAGTCCTGGAGGCCTGAACAGCCCCCCGGGAGCTCGGGGGCACTGACTCTGTGGTCCCCAGCACGGCCCGGCTCGGGTTTATCCCTGGCCTACAGAGCCAGGGCTTGCTCACGTGACAAAGATGGGGTAGATGAGGTTGGAAGCATCGAAGGTGGCTGTGGAGCACTGCCAGGAGCGCAGCACCGGGTGGAAGTAGCCGCTGTGCAGAAGGGAGTCGGCCTCCATCCCAGCAATTCACGGCGAGACTGTGGAGTAGGGCCTGAAACACCAAGGGAGGCAGGTTGGGGGCCGGGTCCTGGCAGTCACCACGAGCTGCCGGCGAGGACAGGGACAGAGATGCTTCGGGCAGCCGCAAACATTGACCGATAGCAGGACCCGCGCTCAGAACCGCTCCGATAGCAGGAACCGCGCTCGGAACCGCTCGAACAGCAGGAGCCGCGCTCGGAACCACTCCAACAGCAGGCGCCACGCTCGGAACTGCTTGTGTGCCAGCGCAGGGTGCAGAGCAGCCCCGCGGGCAGCGCAGCCGCTGCTCGGCGCAGGAAGGCTCCTTGTCGGGCCCAGCGCCTCCTGCCTCCGCGCTCGCCGCTCTCAGGCCGGCCGGCTGCTCTGCCCTCCAGAGCCCTGGAATTAGCTCCGCTGCCCTGGTGCCCGGTAAACAGAGCACGGCCTTTGCTACAGCCACGCCACGAACTTTGTACCAGCCTTGCGAGGCCTTGGGACTCGCTGGGCTTTGTTTTGGCGTGTTCGAGCGTAACAGCAATTTTCTAAAGATGAGATGAGATGAGATGGCCGTGGCTGAATTTGTGTTGCCTAATTGCATAACTCTGTGATACAAGCAGAACTTTTACATGCACAGCAGTAACAAGCTGTTCAGTGCAAAATGAAGCAGTTATGGCTGCAGCCTAATGGTGCAGTCACAGAAGAGAACGGGAGCAGAGGGTGATCCAGAAGACACGAGGGCTTCAAACACCTCACTAGGGTTCACTTGCTGCTGGATAAAGAAATGCAGACCTGGGGGTTAGACGTAACAATGAACAATTAGTTCATACACACAAACCACATCACACGCAGTAAGTTTGGATACAACCAAGAGTTACATGCACATGAAGAAAGAACAAAGCACGGAGCGTACTTAAAATGTACCAAAATAGCCCCAAGGGGTCTTCCAAGTGAGGAGGGATGAGCGGCCGACATCAGCACCGACATCAGCGCGGTGCCGTTCCCGGTGGACAGGAGGGACCCGCGCCGGCCGCCTCTGCCCCGGCTGCACTCGCTGTAGAGCTGCCCGTCGCCAGAGCGGAGCCTTTGGGACCGAGGGGGCGATGGGAGGCAGGGGCAGAGTGGATGTGAGCAGGCAAACGCATAAAAACTTTAGCTGTATGTATCAGCTGTACTTGTGCTGACGCTTCTCTAACTGTTTTCTGTAATACCTACACCGGGCTAATGGTAATTCTCCGAGGAGACAGGTAGGGTTTCAGTTTCACTAAGAGCAGGTTCTTGCTTTGCTGATAAGGAGCGCTCCCTTGTGCCAATAATGAAACGTGGGGTGCAGCGAACAGGCAGGAAGGGCCCGGATAGAGGGCCCAGCAGCGGGTGCGCGGCCACAGTGCAGCTGCAGTTACAGCCCTGCGAAGCACGACCTGAAAACGGGCTGTTCGGAGCAGCATCGAGGGCTCCCGCTCCTGTGCCCATACGCTGCAGCTGAGCCCGCGACCCAGCGCGTGCGGCCTCCGCACCGCTCATTCCCAGCGTTGGCAGCACCGCGGGATGCAGCGCCTGCGGATGAGGGGCTGGCGCGGAGCGCACGGCTCCCCAGGCCGAGGATGGGGCACGTTTCCCAGCGCTTGCACCATGCCCTGCTCTCTGGGGACTGGCCTCTGAGAAGAGTAACCATGGACCGAGAGCTGGGGGGTTAGGTGGGGAAGAGCTCATCATTCACCTTGGAAAGAGGGCAAGAGATTCCCAAGCCCAGCAATGCTGCAGTTCAGGACCACACTAGGGAGCAGCCCCTGGTTTCCAGTCCCAGGCACAGCTTTTCTATGCATTGGCTTAAATCCAAGAGCTGGGAGTGACTCCTGCAGAGATCCAAGACGGATTCCCCTCTGTCTGCACCCAGCGCTCCGGGGCACAGAAGCCCCTGTTAGCTTCCCAGGGGCACAGTCCAGAGAAGAGTCTGATGCCAGCACTCGCTGCACCCGGCAGCAATGGACTTGTGCAGGAGAAGGCTCCAGGCTGCGTAAAAGCCCTCAGATGTTTTGCTGTTTCGCAGGGGGATAAGCTCAAGACCTTTCAAACCACGTCAACGTTAATCCTAATGATCAGCCTGCATTTGACTAGCGCACTGCCGAGGGCACTCAGTGGGATGAGAGAGCATCCCGTGCGATCCAGGGATGGAAGCAAGTCCATTGCTTCCCTAGCAGCTTCCTGGGGCTGGGGGCAAAGGCTGAATGACTTATTATTTACAGAATTATTTATATATAAATAAACACTGACCAGTCCCATTGAGCAAGTGCACTGGTGCTCACGTGGGAGCCGGTGCCTGGCTCGCTGGCAGTGTCGCTGCGTCAAGCAGGGAAGCGTTTTTAAACCTGGGGAGCTCCCCCACCACCCTCCTTCCTCCCTGCAAGGAGGGCCCCGTCCGCGGTGCCCGGTTGGCAGCACGGGGAGCTGCCCGCGCCAGCGCCAACAAAGCGTTCAGTGAGCAGAATGCACCTCGAGAATCCCGAAAATGCTTTCATGGCTAATCCCAGAGGAGGAAGGCGAGGGGGCAGTGCGGGGGAGTCCGAGGCAGCCGGCTCCAATTGCTCTGTGAGGGACAGATAGAGGCTGCAGCTGCGGAAACGGAGCCGTGCGCGGGAGCAGAGGGGAGGGTCCCGCCGGAGAGGTGCGGAGCGGAGATAGCGGCAGGTCGGGCGGGCCCATGGCGCCATCCTGCACCACGTGCACGATCCCCGCGGCCTCGGAATGGGAGCCGGGACCCCAGAGCGACAGAGCCACTGCAGGCCGAGCACAACCACAGCAATACAGAGGGGTGGCAGCGAGAGAGCCGGCGACGAGGGACCCGTCCGAGCAAGGAGGCGTCGCGGGCGCTATCTCCTCAGCCGTGCCTGGTGACGGCGCGGAGTCCCCTTTCCCCAGCCCCAGATCTGCCTTCCCAAGGCCGCCTCCTTCATGCACGTGAGGCCGAGTGACCCGGGACACGGCTGCCACCCTCGGAGCACTAATAACTACGCGGTTCAGAACAACCCTCCCTCCAGAGCCAGAGGCTCCAGGAAACGTTTTAGCTGGAGCTCCTTGGAACAGGCCCAAACACACGGGACCGGAGCAGCTCCTTGGTTCATCCCAGGCCCCTGAAGGGGAAGCAACCAGTTGCGTCGCTGTGTTTAGCTGTGGCGTGGAAAACGTGAGGAAAGTGAAGGTGCTGCAAAACTGGGCTCCAGTGTGAGCGGTGCAGGAGACAAATGGGACAAATCGGTAATTGGGGTCAGTAACGAAGGGCAGGGGCTCACTGATGAGTCCGGCTGCCCTGTTACCTCCGGCATCCCCACTGGCAGCCGGCAGGGCCCCAGCACCGGCTCCTACCGGGACCACGGGAGCATCGCACGCGGCTTCGCATGCTCGGGACGGCGGGCACTACCCGGGGCCGGGGCTCCCGGCGGCGGGATCGCAGCGGCGGAACCCAGGGCGAGCCCCGCGAGCCGCCCCGGGCTGGGAAGGAGGGCGGGGACCGCCGGGGCCCTGGCGACAGCGCCGGGACCCTGGAGGCGCCACCCGGGGCTCTCCCGTCCCGACTCGCTCCCCCCGGGCCGCCGCCGCCGCTCTCACCTCCTGCCTCCGGCTCCGCTGCGCGCGCGCCTCTCAGGCCCCGCCCACACGTTTTGCATAACAGGGCCACCTATTTGCATAGCCCCGCCCCGTTAGGCGCACGTGTCCGCGGGTGGGAAGTGGCGCGCGGGATGGGGCGTGGCCTGCGGAGGGGGGCGTGGCCAATCCGGAGCTCTGGGAGCGGGAGCGGGGCTGGGGGGCTCCGTGGGGCCCACGTGGATCCAGGCTGGGGCACGCGCGTGGAGCCATGTTGGGTGGGCGGCAGGGAGGGGGGCGGCCACGGGCAAGCTCCCTGTAGGTCAGTGCCGCTGCCTCCGGACCCGCGCGGGCGCCAGGCGGATACCCCGGCAGCCAGAGCAGCCGGCACCGTCCTTCCCTGCTATCTGCGCTGGAGCTGATTTCATATCCTGTTTCCCACTGTATTTTATCCCATGGCTTGGGCCTTTGCTCGGATATGTGCTTGTCTTGAGGCAAACAGCTCATTTGTTTTGTCTTCTTTTAAGATAAGGAAATAACTGACTCAATCTCTTCACAGAAATTGGCTTTTATTTAAATATTGTTCCCTTCCGGAAGATATAGTCCGGATACATGCTATAAAAGAGGGAAAAGAAAAAGAAAAGAAAACAAAAAAAAGAGGGAAGAAAAAAGGAAAGTGAAGGAAGGGGTTTTTTATGCATATGTTTAGAAACCTTGGAGAGATACTGCAGCCCTTCAGCCTCTTCTGCCCTTCCCGAGTGCAGGGCAGCAGAAGCCAGGTGCCAGAAAGCCTCTTTCTATCCAGTTCTTCTCCTGAGCTGGGCTTCTGCACGACAGAAAAACATCACCGTCGAAATAAGGGAGCTTTGTGGGAAGATTTATGCACATTTTTCAGAAGAACCTGCACCACTGCATGGATGCACCGCTTACCCCAGGGCTCGCCTTTAAACTGTGCAGCAGCAAAATTAGGAGTTTACTTAAATGTGCTTAAATTTTTCCTAAGGTTTCCTTCAGCAGAGCACATTTAAGTCCAAATATTAGGTATATTAGCCTTGACATGATCAGTCAAGTAATAAAACTTTCCCTCCCTGCAGAAGGGGCTTAGTTGAATAGATGCGTTCCCACAGAAGGGAAGATAAAGGTGTTAAAGCCAAGAATTCAAGTACGACAGAACAAAACTACAGGAATGCTGGAAATACAAACCCCTGCTAGAACGGGGCCAGCAGGTGCCCCATCTTTCCCTGGGAGCGTTTGAAACCCCTGGGTGCGGGCAGCCTCCCGAGGAGGAGCGTTCTGTCCTCTGTCGTCGCTGCAGCCCCCCACGCCGGGGGCAGACTGCGCCTTGGGAATTGCTGCGGATAGCTCGCACCCTTCAAAGAAACAAAACCCACAGGAAAACCCCAACCGGTCGACTATTACCATGTGTAAACTTGCTGCAATCACCAACCTCTCTGCAGAAGCAACTGCAGAAGGTGAGAGAGAGACCACGAGATCCATCCATGCCCACTGCTGACCTGCAGCAAACTTACCCCTAGGTTCAACCTCGCACCCTTGCTGATACAGGACACATCTTAGCTCTTAGTTTTGCTTCGGATTTTTTTAATAAAATGGCTCTTGGTCTCCCAGGGGCTTTTAAAGACATAAAACAAGCACTTTGGGATGTTTAGTTTCCATTACGGTTGCAATGAAGTTCTTTTGCTTTGGATTGATTCTCTGGACAGAACGTCAGTTCCGTGGACCACTGGTCCCTGTACAGTTGCACTGCATCACTGCATACAACTTGTACATTGTAAAACACATTATCAGTGTCACAGCAAAGACAAGGCACAGTCAGAATGCAAGAAAATGAAGGGAAAATGAAGCCACTTATATAAAACCTTAGAAGATGAGCCTCTCAGAGGTGATGGGGTCTCTCTCAGCATCATCATGTAGTTTGTAAAGCCGAGTTATGACCTGTTTTCTGGCTTGGTTTGACAAGCCTATTCGACAGGCTTATTCAGTTCCCTCACATTCTCCTGACCAGTTGCCATACTGAGAATCTGACATTCCTTTTTCGTGTATTTCAGAGCCAATCCAGCATAAAAAAAGCACAGTCTTTTTAGCCAGGAACTACTGTTTGGTCAGAATCTGGAGAGTGCCAAGTTCCCAGTGCGCTGGGAGGAGGTGGTCCTTCCACCAGAAAAGCTGCAGGAGAAGTCCTTTCTAAACAAGTAAAAGCCAAAGGGATGGTCCCAGAGGAACCGTACAAAGCTCTACTGGAAACCAGGAGGGGACAGACCAAGACAGATTTACAGCATTTATATCCTGATGAAAAGGGCCAAACTCCCGCACGCATCTCATCCAAAAGCTCAGTTGTCCACCTCTTCCTCCTCATTTTGCTCCTCTTCCTCCATTCTTTCGTCGTCGTCCTCATTCTCTTCCTCTCGGCTCTTGTCTTGCTCCTCCGAGTCTGCCTTTTTGTCTTTGTCTTTCCTTGCTTCTTTCTTTCCTTTCTGTTCACGCCTGTAAGCTAAAGACAACCGAGCATGCTGAGCACGCGCGGAGCGGCCGGTGTCCACGGCCGTCCAGGGCCGCCGCGGCCGCAACTCGCCCCAGCCCCTGCGTTGTGCGGAGCAGCTCCGCAGGGAACCCGGCTAAGCGCCGTTCAGCAGGAACGTGCTGAAAAGCCCCAGGAGTTCACATGTACAGGCAGCACCCGGCACTGGCCTGAGACAAAAATAACAGGGGAGTGATATCAGAGGAGCCTTTCCCCAGTCATCAGTTGTGAAATGATGTTATCCCAGTCCTGTTAAGGGGTTAGTTATTCCCCAGGCAAACTGCAGTGTAGTGTGGGATGCTGGGCAAAGAAAAGAGAAACAAGGCAGGGAAGCAAGTATTGCTTGTTGAACTTTCTAGGAAAACGGAACTCGGGGCTACTCAGACTCCTCGGACATGAGGTGAGACTGGTACCTTCCAGTGATTCTTTCAAAGGGGCTACAAATCGCTGAAACTCCATTTCCTCCATGGCAGAGAGCACGTCACCAGCATTTAGCGTTTTCCTCTTCCCCTTCATCGCAAAGTTATTGGCACTGCCAGAAACAAGGAGAAGAGAGATAATCAGTAACCACCAGTTTATCATTCAGGTGTTCCTATCACATGCTAGAGCTGGCTTAGTAGAAGGTATTTTCTGGTTTATACTGGCTGCTCGTGTTTTCATCTAGTTGCACAGTGAGTTCTCTGTTTGGATGGATCTTTCCCACCAGGAACCGGGGAAGGAGAGCGATGTGGCCCTTAGCTCTAGGACGAGCTCCGCGCGGGTAGCGGGCCCAGCTCTCCTCCCTTGCCGTGCCCAGGGCAGAACGAGCCCGACTGCTGCACTTTGACGGGCTGCGCTCGATTTTGTGCATTTTTATTTATATTTTATTTGTATAAGCAGCATCTCACTGCAGCACCTCCCGGACAGGAGGCGGGGAGGTAGGAGGTTATGAAGCAAGCGCCCTGGAGATGCGGCCAGCCGCTTCTTACCACGAGGTCGCGTAGAGCACAAACACGCTCGCCGCTCGGGATATCGCGCTCCGCGCTTCCTTGGAAATATTCACTCCGTCGGGAAGCTGAAAGGAAACCCGGGATCTGCGGGCGGTGCTGCAGGCGGCTCGGCGCGCAGCCCTCCCGCCCGTGGGGCCCCGTGCGGCCGGGGCGCTCC